AGTGAGGAGGTTCTTGCTTTGGACTCACCCGGTAGAAAAAAGGAAAATGCTGTTTATGCTCCGGAATGGGGCTGAGAACACCATAGTTGATCTAAGAAAGAAGATGAAAGGTTGGTGGTCTGTCTCACTTTCAATGAAAATATTCAGATGCTTAAATCTAAGGGCTTTCCACAGCTGTTGAGCTAATAGGCAATAGCTGTATGAAAGGTTCGATCTACATTGCTGATCTCTCTGCTGCTTGTGTCATCTCTGTTCATGTCCTTTCTGGCTAAGAAAAGCCTGTTCTCCTTGTGGTTGATGTCCATGGTGACCCCTGACCAAAAACCATGACCTACCCAGGTTAGTATGGGGTGAGGCACATGGTGCTAAGTGGAGAACCTTTGGTGCCTATGGGAGCCCCTACTCACTCTGTGGATCCCCTGTAGCTCTTAGCACACAACAGATCAGGGGCTGCAAGTGTTCCAGTTGGTGGGTACCAGATTCTCAGTAAAGAAGGGGGTGAGCACTGTTTCCTAATTCCTTGGGAATTCACCCATCTGATTACATTATGAAATCTGCCTAAACCCACTGCTCTAGCCATCTGTCCAAACTTACCTCCTCTTCCACAGCAAGCCCCATCCAATCCTCGGGAGACAGACTGGTAATTTTTATTATTAATATTTTTTTCCATTGGCAGGGAAATCTACCAATCTCTCCACTTTAACATTCTTCTCACTAAACTGTTGGGACAGCACCCACCTCATGGACAAAGCAGAGTGGAGGTCAACTCTGGTTATAGAGCAAATGAATAGTGACCTCCTTTGTGCCTCAAAGCACATTAAAGTGGCTGGCTGACTGTGCCCTTGTCCTCTCAGTGCCTTTGTATTCTCAGAAAGATTCCTTGCATCCAATTTGTCCATACCTGGTGTCATAGGGTGTCATTAGTTCTCCCCTCTTGGTTTTCATCCACTCATAAATTGCAACCCAGAACATTCTTGGTCTTCCTCTTTCTTTTGACCTATGAAGGAGTCTTCCTTCATATCTTTCAGTTCTCATTCATTCTATGTCTCAAACCAAACTGTACTGTATTACACACTTAAGAATTCAGTTCATACTAATTTTGAACCATACATTCTGGATTCTCTCTTATCACCCACATTTCTTAGACACCCATTCTGACTGCATTCCACTGACTTTTTTCTTTTGCATGACATGCCCAATTGTCACTGTCATATAACAGTCTGAGCAGAATTATACTGGATCTTTCTGGCAACAGACCACATACCACTGTCTTATGACAAGCAGTTGTGGGCCTTAAAATGTCTCCATCCTTTTCTTGCTCTTTTCTGATAAAGCAATTTGTCTACCTGCTGTAGTTTCTGTGAGGAAAGGCTGTTGGCTATGAGTCCAATTCATAGCAGAAAAGGAGAAGGTCATGAAGTCAGCGTATTGTTTCCAAATTGTGTACCAATATCAGAAAAGCCAAAGTAATACATGGGAAATGAACCTATTTCAGGTCTTTTAAGAGTGACCATCTGACTCCCACTTTGCTTGGTGCTATCCAAGAGTGCCCCCTTCTGTACTCATCTTGAGAATTTCCAAAAAGGACTTAGCTTCTATTTAAATTGATACCTGTGGGATTTTGTAGATGCTCAGCATGGTTGAAATGTGATTAAAGAGCTCAGAATCAGTCCCTTCAAGAATGGCCAAGATATTTTTTCTTCTCCCACAACTGTAGTTTGGGGTGTTCTCCTGCCCCATAGAGAGAAAGTCCATCATGGCCTCGTATGTCATTAGGGCATTGAAGAAGTTCTCATAGATGTTGTAGCCCAGGGAGATATTTTGGATCAGCCTAGGACTCTGATTGATCTCATGAGTGGTAAACAAGAAAGGCAAGATGTGGCTGAAGCTCATACTCCTTATTCTACAAGAGAAGAGATATCAGTAGGTTTTCCTCTTCAGTTTATAAAGACATGTTGTATTGCCTGCAGGTTTTACTTGAATGACCTCTTCCCTGATTAATTAATGTTTAGATTTAGAACTACCCTCATGAAAGCCCCACAGCCTGAACTATGAATGGAATGAGGTTGAAATGGGACACCATATAAACGTGCAAACTAGCCCCATCTGTGTGAACCTTTCAGAAAGCCCTGAAAATCTGGTTTTCCAGCAAGGTTGGGGATCCCATAGGGAGCCTGCAAGATGCTTGTATTGTGCGTAGATGGCTGTAATTCTCCCGCAATTTTGCTTTTTTCTGTATTTTGTTTATATTTGTTGTTTTAAGTGTTTTTATTTTTCTGACATTGTTTTAATTGTTAGTTGTACACCACCCAGAGCCATGTCCAGTGAAAGGGCAGCCATATAAATTTGTTCTCTTTTACACTGATGCTAATCTAATAATTTACTTCATACTTCCCTTTTTTACTGTATATGTTTTAGTCTAATTATTTATTCTTGTTCTTGTTTGACCAGAGAGCTATGGATAGGTGACCCAAGATTACAGTCTCTTCTTCCCCACAGCATAAAATGCTGTTGTGTTAAATAT